ATGTACGATTGACTGCTGAAGAAAATCTTAATAAATTTGTTAAAGTATTATAAAAGAAATTCTTTTTTTCTGTATAATTTTGTATGAATTATAAAATAGAATTTAAAAGAAGCAGATTTAACAAGAATTCAAGTTGAATTATATCGAATTATAAAACATAATCCTAATGTTGAACCAAATGCTTTAAAAGGTTATTTTTATTATTTGACTTAAATTAATAATAAGGATTTTTTTTTAATTTCGATTAGGTGTTCTGTGGTGATTTGCTGAATTAGCAAATGTAATACATCCGAAAAAGATTCAACCATTTTATCAGAATATTATGAACTTATTTTTCGTAGTCTTGGTCGACCGATTAATGATAAAGAAATTAAAGTAAGTAAAACAAAAATCTTTGTCATCTAAGACAAGTTTTTTAAAGAAGTAATCAGAAAAATGTCATACGGTTGAATAGAAACATAGAAAAGAATTGCTCTACCATGTTTCGGTTAAAATTTCTAGCATGAGAGGATGTTTTTCAGAAAATGTAGAATAGGCAGTCTGATACTATTTGACGAAATACGGACTGAGAAACTGTCCATCATTTGAAGCGATCCGCCCTCGAAAGTAATCGAGCGTAGAATTTCATGCAACTTAAGAATGGTTTAGTCATAGTAATTCGCTAGCTATGGTTATAGTTAAAGTATGAAGTCGAGTGAGAACGAATTTTTCTTTTCCTAATATTAACAATAAATAATTTTCTTTTGAAATATATAATCAATTACTAAACTATTCTTAGAAACTTCTCATAGCCTAGTCAGCAAATGTATTATCCTATGGTTATAGCACGTTTTCTAATGGCAAATGTAATTGGTAAGTTTTCTTTCAAATAATAATTTCAATCCATTATAATTGTCTTTTATTTTAATAGATCAATTACTTGAATATCAAAATGGTAGTACACGCTTAATAATTGTTTATCTTGGTTTAATAAAAAAATTTATTCAATTACTTCGTTATTCAAATTTATTTGATTTTGATCAATTATTAATTTCAACCAAAATTGGATCTATAGAAAAAACTTGTGTTAGTGAAGCCTTAAAAACAGGTAAATATTGAGAAAAAAAAACAAGAATTTTTTTTTTCATTTATTTTTTTTCTAAAACAATAGCTTATTCAACATATCAACGTTGATTTATTGAAATGAATGATGAATTCGATTCAACATCAATGATTAATAATGAAAAACGAACATCAACTGCTAAACTTGTTCATCAATTATATTCTTTTTCCGATTAGATATATACCTAATATGGATGGTACGATAAAAAGTGATGATGAACCATGTATTAGTGTTAAATGTGCTATGCCAACATGTCTATCGTATTTATCAACAATTTGATCCATTTGTTTATCTTACTAAAAGTATGTTTAATTCTTGTTTGACTTTTTTTATAATCCAAAATTATTTCTAATGTCGTAACTGTAGGAGGGCCTAGGTGAAGGGAATTGTGGCAGCGTTTAGTTGGCGTGGCTTCAATTGGTTAAAGGCTCAAAGTTTAGTGAAAGTTATCTGATAGATATGACAATTTCACTATTAAATTGTTGAAACATATATATATATATTGGAATCTGAAAATTCAAGAACGGAGATTTCTGAATATTGATTCAGCAGCTCTAGTCCTATTCCTATTTTTAATTTTTTTGAAATCAACAAAAGACTAGAACATTATCAGACTCGAAAAGATATCAAGTAGAACATTTTATTGAAGCTCAAAGCCTGCATTTATACATCAGAGATTGAAATTATACAATCACACAACTACCTCAAAAAAGTTCTAAGCCGAAGTTCGAGATATGAAATCAATTGTATCCTCTAAGGAGTTTTTCTTTAGTCTTTGAAGATTTCTGATGAGATATAATTTTGTAATTGAAATAGAACTTTCTAATAAGAAAAATGAAATTCTCATCTCTATATGACTTGTAATACATTAAAATTTATCGAACATCAAGGTATCTTTTTTTTTCTTTTCTTTAAGATATTACATATCTTTTATCTTTATGTGAACATGGTGATCTACTTTTACGTGGTGCATGTGCAAGTTTACTTGCTACATTAATTCAAACAACAATTCATCTTTTATTAAACAATGTTCACTTGTATCAACTGATTCACAAGACAGTTCAAGGTTATATGTCTTAATGATAATAATGCACGTGTTATACATGTTTCACTAAATGCTTTACGAACATTATTACCTTTTTTATTAATTAATAGTCATGCATTTACAATCATAGGAATTAAATTATTAGAAGATTCTATTCAACATACTACAAGTTCCTGTACTCTTGCTCAAGTAGATAAAAGAAATTTATGATTATAATAATTTTTTTTTGTATGTATATAAAATAGGTTAGTCTAGCTCAACTTATAGATGATATTGATTTTCGAATATTAACTTATCTTGAACAACAACAACAATTAAAACCACAGTACCCTGATATACGTGTTCGCCAAGCAATTGCTTCGACTTTTGCTAAGTATGTATTTTGTAGAGATATTAACTAGGTAGCTTTTTTTCGAATTTGAATGCATAAGTCGATTTTATTGAATTAAGTTAGTTATTAGCTACTTTTTGATTTTAAGGTTTTGTTGATCACAATTCATTTTTACCATGTCAATGGATATATAAAATTCATCATTCATTACACGTTTAAGCATCAACTCGAATACAAATTGTTTGGTATTTTTGTCTTTTATATAGGTTGGATGTTTAGAAGATATTTATGTTCTTTCAAATGTTTTAAGACCAACAACAATTCGACCAATTTTTTCATAATCAATATGATGAACTTCGTTTATTTATAATTTTTTTTAAACATCCCTTTATATTACATGATCTTAATAATTTAATCTTTTCAAGTAAAGAGAAAAAAATATATTTATTATGTTTTTTTAAATTCTTTCTTTTTATTTGAAGATTTATCAAATTTCAACAAATGAAAAAATGTTTTGAAAGTAGCACAAATGATTCAAGTAATTCGAAAAATTGAACTATTTTATCATCATTCTTTTGGACAGAATATAGTTGATATTTCAGTTTTCACAGAAGAAGAGAGTTCCAAAGTGTTAGCTTTGAAGAATATACTTGATCATGTTTCGTCTGAATGAATTCATTTGTTTTTTTCTTTTTAAAGAGAATGATAACGATTCATCAACAACATCAAACACAGACAAAGATAAAAAAGTTAATCATACACAATTAGGTACTTTTGGAAATTATTCGAATTAATATGTTCATCATATCAAATACATAAAAGTTTATTAAACTCATCAGAAATGATCATTATTGTCTATAAAATCAGTTTTAAGTCTTATTTCTACACAAGATTTATCAAAAAAATTTGGAAGAGAAACACTTAATTATTTTAAATCAATATTCAATATACACAAAAGGTAACTTTTTTTAAATAGTAAATATTTATTGTAAAGAAAATTTCAATTATTAATCTTCTTTATTTATTGGTTAAGCTAAAACCTTTAGGATGTTGTATTGTGCCTGAAACTTGTCTATGGATAAAACTTTAGATGGAAATCTTATAATGAAGGTTTCTGAAAGGGTCTTTCCTAGAGAAGGAAAATTTCAATATAAGAATGTCATAGTTACAGAAAAACTGATTTTACGAATATCGATGATCTTAACGAGAGTAGTTTTGTCGTGAAAGTGTCAGATCTTTTGATTCGGTTCTATCTTGAAATTCGAATATTAAATCATCTAGTTTACGTCAGTGATCTGCAAGACACGCTATCAATTCGAAATTTGAAAATCATTTTTTTCTGTTAACACAACATTCATTTAAAAATATTCTTTTAATTTAGTTTTTATTAAATCTTCAAATATTTCCTCACAAGTATCATTAAATAATTCTTTAACTTATATTCATACAATAAGTATTCGACAATCGATAATTTATTTTATTTGGTTCATGTTATGCATCAAGTATAAATAGTGCAATCCGAGAGTAAAATAAACAAAAAAATGAATTTGATCTATTCTGTTGTTTTTGTTTTCTATTTTAGTTTTTATTGAACCATAAAATTAGTCTTAAAAAATATATTAATAGAAGTGAAAGTGATTTTCAAGCTGCTGTACTCAATTTACTTGTTCAATTACTTTTAATTCGTGTTAATTATGATTAATTAGAAGCTGATGAAATTCGTTGCATTTCTAATCGTTTCGTTTATTTTTAAATGGCATTTTATTTATTGTATTGCTGAATTTCTTGTTATGTTATCACATGATACACTTCATTCAAAACAAGTTATTAACATACAAGATTTAATAAAACATTATGATTCATTATTAGCAAGTGGACATGAACCTGAAACACATGGTAGGAAGCAATAAAAAACGTTTTCGAGAAAATGAAATTATCGTTAAAATTCTTTATTTAGCTTTGGCAGCATTAAAACTAGTTTTATATGATTTTTTTTCTTGTTCGAGTTATGCAAATAATTAAAATTCCTAAAAAGTTTTATTAAATGAGAGTGAACAAAAAGTGTCCCTCTATAAGGTCTCAAATATCTTAGAAACTCGAGAAGTTGTGAGTGTGGGTGTGTATATGTAATTTTTCTCCTCGATTGAACCTACATCCACACTTCAACGAATCGATGATCTGAAAATAATCATCTTGTTGTTATGTATTTGAGTTTGAAGGAAAACTAGGCGTCTTAATTATTATAAATAAAAGTATCTTTTCATGTCATGTGTATGTACTGAAAAAATAATAATAGAATTTATATTGTTATAGGCTTTACGATTGTTCACAGTTATTGTTAATAGTATTCAAATTGAAGATGATAAATGGAAACGTCTTTCACGACAAATTGTCGATTTACTTCTTGCTCATTTACAATCTCAGGTTATTTTTCTTTTAATAGTCTCTGATTTTGCGTTATTTTTTTTTTGCTCAAATAGGATCAATCACTTTTGGATATTTATTCCACACAATTAACACTATTTGATGTTGTGTCATCAGTTGAATTACGATCAATTGATCCATTTGTTATTGCTTTTCGAGCATTAGTAAATAGAAATATTCGTTGTTTTTATTTATAAAATTTTTCTGTAGTTTAAAATTTTTTAGAATGTCAATTATCAATCTAAAAATCGATAGTTAATCAATATAAATATAATACTTCGATATCTTGTGCAAAATTTAACTGAAGATGCTATATTAACACGATAGAATGATGTTTTATTATCAGTTAATGGAACACGAGATGAAACTTTTAGTGCGTAAGTATTCGAAATGATTTTATTTATAATTTAATAAGTATTATTCTCGTTTTTGTTTTCAGAGCTCTTCTTCGAATTTTACATGACGTAATATTACGAATTTTAACTAATACTCGACAATTATGTGGTCAAATCAATATGACATTAGTTTCTCTTGTATCCGATTATCTTTATGTACATATCACCCATTAATTTGATGATAAAACTTTCCTGCAATTCATTAATTACTAATGGGCTAGCGAAATACGTTTGACTTTAAAATTCCTATGCTTATATAAGATGTATGATTTTATTTTAGTTAAACAATTTCGAACAATTGTAAATGATTTTCATCAATTATGAATTCATGATGAAACTCTACATTGTCTTGAGACATTTTCGTATTGAACTATTTTAAATGAATGCTTTAAATTATTATGATCATTATTTTATATCTCATTACTATTACAATGGACACATATTTTGAATATACTTGATTATATACAAGAAGCATGGTGATCACCAATATTGACACTATCATCAAGAATACATTTATCTATCAGTGGTCAATTACAATCTTATTGTGATTTAATATATCATCATGAATTATATGTTGAACATTTTACATCAATAACAACACATTATCAATTATTATTATTATTTTTTATTTTATCTTATACATCATACATCAGTTACAAGTCATTTATTTTTTTTGTGAAAGAATACATTTAGATGAAAGTGGTCTTCTATTAGTTTTATTAGTTGAACAATTCCTTCCATTACCATTAAATAAACAATTATGACTTAAATATATACCATAAATTTTACAAATATTATCAATAACAATATCAATCGATATTATTAAAGAAGATTTTAATAATCTTAATTGTCCTATGGATATAACAAGAAAAATTTATGAACAAATGCTTAAAAATATAACTTATAAAAAATGATTACCATTTATGATGTCACCGGTATATTTTAGTTTAATTTATCGAAATAGATAAATATATATGTATAATAAAAATTTTAATCCAATTAAAAGATATTTTTTTGTTTTTACTTTGACATTGTTAATGTGCTAGTAATAGATGAGACTTTTGAATAATTCAAAATTTCGAAAAATATTTTGAAATAGAAAATATGCAGAATTTCAGGTAATACAAGTCGTAAAGGAAAGCATTTAAGCTACATTAGTACAATGACCGAATAATTCCTTTTGAATCTTATTGATCAAATTCTCAGTCGTGCTATTTGTACTATTACAATTAAAGAAAACGACATCTTTCTAATATATTTCGAAATAAATTGCATTCGAGAATTTCGATAAACTTTCTATAAGTTTGAACTCGTGAACTCCGATAAACTTATTGGATTTTTTCCACAGCATTAAATTTTTAGGATGATTCTTATAGTAAATGAAAATTGATTTGAGAAAATAAGAAACAATATAAATCTGTTCTTTTTTTTTGTTTTCCTAGGATTTTGTATAGTTATATCAAATGAAACAAATTAAAATGACATTGAAACAACACCTAATACAATTTATGAAAAAAGTCTTTTATCATGCTTCTAATAATCAACCATATTCAATTGCATTCATAGATTCTATATCAATATATTTTGATAAAATACAAAATTATGTTGAATTAACATGTCAATTTTCAACAGGTGATATACATGATTTATTACGTTTTATAATATTTATATCAGAAATAATTTATATAAATATATTTCAAAAAAGAAACATAATTTCTTAGTTGTGAAATAGATCAAATAATATCATGTTGTACATTATCCAAAACACTATTATCAATATTTGAATATCTTTATCAACGACATGGTTTAACTATATCAAATATATTATAATCATATTTAAATTTAATTGAACCAGATAAAAGATCATCTTTATTATTTAACAAAAAAAAATTAAATATATATATATATCATATATTTATTGACATGATTTATATTGTATAGTTATATTATTATTTTGTTTACCAATATTTATATAAAGACAATTTCGAAGTTGGTTGATTATTAAGAATACAATTTCAAGAAAGATAGGCTTCAATTAATTCACCACAAATCAATCTAATGATGAAAATAAACAAACAACAAATAATTAAAAAAAAAAAGAAGAAACTTTAGAAACAAATGCAACACAATGGTAATGAGATTGAAAAATAAACTAGATTTTATCTGTTTTGTTTTTTTATCGGTGGTCAATATATGCAGACACGTTTAACATTAGATACAAGTTCAAATAATTCATTTACAGATATTGAATGGTTAGGTACGCGTGATTTATTATCCTATGGACAACTTTCATATGATACTATATTAACATCAATCCAAAGTAATAATACATTACCATTATCAGTTAATATAAGTCTCACATATGTTTTAATAATCGACAAATAGAACTTTTAGTTTTGTTAATATTGAACGTTCAACATAAGTGTATACAGAACTCTAAGTTAAGAGAAAGATAAATTTATTGCTAAATTATTAATTTCATCAAACAGAAAATCTAGTGTTTCTCTGACTTTGATTTGATATATAATACATGCAAACTATCTTATTTCATATAGGTAAAAGCTTATATCAATAATTTCAAATATATTCTATCAATCGGAAAATTAGAGTATGAACATTTTCTTTTCTGGCATCCATCTTTAAAAATAGATAATTTAGAGTTTATTTGATCGATTATTTTTTCATCATGGTTTTGATTTAACATTATCATTACAAATTCTAATTGAAATATATGTAATATAAATTAATAGGTTCAATTATATATCTATCTGATTTATTTCTATTATCATAACATTTATCAAATTTATATGATGAATATTTTTGTACATGGTTTGATGAAGATGATTTAATAATATCCTTAATAAGTTATAATTTATGTAAATCTAGTATATTACTTGAACAAAGAACAAAAGAACATAATGAATTATATATATGAATTTAATTGAACGTAATCATAAATTAATAACTAAAACTCATGCATATACATCATGTTTATTTTTACTTGAAAGTCGTGAAGTTGATTTAAATTCATATGATATTTGATTATCATTAATTAATGATGATAATTCAACACAAAAAACTATATCAATTAGTCTTGCAAAACTTTTAATAGTTGGTCAATATCCTAAAAATGATATATGGTGTTAATATGTATTTATACATTATTACAACGACCAAATAAAAATACAAATTCATTAAATAATGAACATGTTAATAAAGAACAAACAATAATTGATAGTTCATTAATAATATCATCATCAGAAAATATTCTTATTGAACTTGTTGAAGAATTATATGAACGTACTAAACAATCATCAACATTACCACATGAAGCTTTACTTTTATTACGTCCTTTATCATTATTACTTGCACACATTAGTTTTTTTTTCGTGCTTTAATTAATGCACGTTATTCAGCTAAAGTTAATGAATGAACTTTATTATCAATGACAAATATTGCACAAAGAAAATCACTATGTATGGCTATATGGGGGCTAACTTGTCTTATGTTAAGTGCATATCTATCACAGGGTATGGGTGTGGTTGAAGACAAGACCTATAATGATACCCACACCCACACCCTCTTATGAGTAAAATTCTGCCTATGGTTAAATATTCTTCCTAGTTTTCTTTTTAAAAATTATCAAGACTTACACATACGATTAAAATTTATTTGGAAAAGATAAATAGTAAAACATTAATGAAAAACAAAAACTCTTTATTGCAATCCGAAGGAATGACGATCAATACAAAATCAATAAATTTCGCCATGAAATGTCAAAATGAATTTTCATAGATAATATAGTATATCTTTTACTTTTTTAGGTTTTTATTGATGTTATCACGTTTCAGTGTTCGTTTTGAAGAATCAGACAATCGTTTATTTCTTATTGCTGATCGAAAATAGTATCTGCAGGTATATTAAAAGAAAACTTGCAAATATCAATTGTATCAACAAAAAAGCAAAATCTATTTTATTTATTTTAGTTAACGAATATTGAACATTGACGTCCATATGAACAAGCATTCACACATGAATCGAATCCAGAAAAATTATATGCTGATTTAGTTGAACACGTTCAAAATACGGTGTGGATGTAGATGTTGTTTGGATATGTTGATGAATCATATACTCTCTCTCTCTCTGTCATCCATACCCACACCTTCAATAAAGACTAAAAATATCAATTTATAAAATGGAAAAATAGCAACAAGAATTAATTTATCTATTTTTTTTCTTTTTACTAGAATTGGTCTCTATTATAACAATCATATCTAAATTTTCTAAAACCAATCAGAATAGATTGTCATTTATTTTGTGCTCTAATTTCTGTTTGGCTTATTGATTTATATTTCATATCGTATGTTTTATTATGATTTCAATCATTGATTTAACTAGTATATAAGTCGATTACATGTATCCATTATAAACATATTTTAGCCATTGAAGTTTTAACGAAGACTTTTCTAAACCATGTCGTTAGAGTTTAAGAGAAATTTTCACAAATCTGGATTAAAACTTGCATTTATAACCAGTACTTTTAATAATATCAAGAAGAATGTGAGTATAGATGTTGATATTCTGTTTAACCATAGCTACACTCTTTGAATCGTTTTGGTTTAGTAAATTATATGTAAAAGCAGCTACCAATACTTCATCCTATTGAACTGTTTTCTGAAAATCCATTGAAAATGATAAATTCAAAAAGTCTCGCACTACACCATTGTTTCTTTTTATTCAAATAATAATTCTTTTTTCTTGATTTATTATTCGTATTTTTTATTATTTTATTATCAATACAAAAAAATTTCATAATAAAGAAAAAAATTGAATATTTTAATGTAAAAAGCAATTCATCATTGACAGTATTTAACGATAACTATCAGAAAAAGGAATCAAACCAACTTCCACAGGTTCGAATTCAGTTCGATGCCTGACAAGCGCGGTATTATCCTGTAAAATTATTTTAGATTGTAAATTTCTGAGAATTTTTTTAATGAAAAGCATAAGTTAAAACTCAACAATACAATCATCAAAATGCTTGGCTTCATAAAAAATAAATCATAAATAACGAAAATCCGATCATCACTAAAGAATATTCTGTAAGAAAATGATCGCATCATGTTCCTGTTACATTCTAAAGATACTAAAAGGCTTGTAAACACATTCTAGAATACTTCAAACATATTTAGATTTGATTTTAAATTTATTTAACTTTTTTAAAATTTATTTCTGGATCTTTAGTAAATGTTTATAAATATAAATTGATCGCTTTGCAAAATATTCTATCGAACATCGTTTAATAATCACATATAACATCACAACTTTACAAAAATAATTATATCTTAGCTAATCATTTTTTTTCATGTGCCTATCTATATTTATTCATTTTTTCAAAATTACTAATATCTGTTTATGGAAGAAGTCGTTGTTTCAATGAATAGTATGATGTTGAATCCTATTCTATTTTCATTACTGAGAATAGGAGAGACAATTAGCTTCAAAACTTTTTTCTCACAATCTACTTTCGTGATTTAAATTTTGTGTTCTAACTTATTTAACTTTGTTTCAAATATTTTTTTTGTTGTTGACACAGTAAACTTTGCATACATGTGACGAAATAAAATGAAGAAATTTTTTCTCATAAAATTTAGTTTAAACAGAAATATATGCAATAAGGTGTGAGTTTTCGGTTCATCTACAAAGCCATACATGCTATTGTCTAGGAATTCGTTGTATTCTTCACTTTTTCTTCTGGAGAGGTGTTTCTTTTTTTTTTTGATTTTGGGACAATTATCAATTTAGTTTGCGTTTTGTTTCAACAAGCAAGTCGGTGCAAATATTCTAGACTAAGAAAATATTTTTTCACAGTTACAGTTTATTGTCTGTCTCTTCTGAATAGATCAATCAATCTCATTCACATTTTTCTAGCTAATAATTGTCACTGATATCTACTTTTAAGAATCATCAGGATCATAAACTCGATCATTCGGTTTTATTGTAATATAAGATTACCTGATTTTCTCCAATATGTCATTTCTTGAACTCTTGCAAAGACATTCTTTCTCAGGCATTCGCTATCGACGAAATTCAGAAACTGAGATATTATCAGTTAAATCTTCTAATCTTAAATAAATATATTTCTCCTGAATAATTGAAAATTCAGATAAAATTGGAATTGACTTGTATCACAAATATTCACTCTATTCGTTAATTAACCTTAAGAAAATCTTATATTTTTTGCTAAAAAAAAATTTTATGTTTGAATATTTGGAATATAAATTTTTCAAAAGTTATTCAAAAGAAAAAGAAAACTTTGCAAGGTCACGATCTTTAAAATGATGATGCTGAAATCTTGCAGAACGCTGATAGAAGTAGTTAATAGTTATGTCATTGATTATTTTAAAAACTATGCATTGAAAACAAAAACAAAAAAAACATGTCTGTTAACTCCTACTCAAGTATTCGCTAGTCAGAGAAACATTTGAATCATTAGGCTTAATAGTTATTTCCATACAATGTAGTATTTATACACAAATTTTTTGATTGCGAGTAAATTTATCAATAAAAATCTTGAACAAACTGTTCAAATTCATCTGAAAAATCATGATTTTTATAAATTTACTTATGTGCTCATATAAAAAATGTGTTTTTTCTTAACTACTGTTTCCTTGTACATTGAGATAAGTCCAGTGAGTGATAAAGTTAATTTCGCCAACTGTTGTCTTTTAAAGAAGACTCATGGTTTCACAGACGACGCATGCCTTTTTATTTTCATACAGGGTGTCTCATAAGTTGTGGCAGATTTTTTTAAATCTAATTTTTGATGATAATGAATACAAATTAAACTCAAACTTATACGTATGACACGGCTTAGCATGTACTTTTATTTCATATATTTTATTTGGATTAGATCATTGAATATACAAGAAAATAAACAAATTCAATGAACATACCCTCCATTGACAAATATCAAAAGTCTGCATTTTTTCGCTACTTTGTTAGTTTTTTCTCCAATTGCTATTCCTATGGGAGTAAGTTTTTACAAAAGAAATCACACATTCTGATAGCACTTGAAATGCTCTATGATATTATGTATTAATACAGTGTCTTAAATTTAAGTAGCGAAAAAAAATGCAAATTTTTTGGGCTAGTCGATTCGGAGTATATTCATTGTATTCAATTTTATTTCAATCTATAAACGCAAGAAAATAAGTAAATAGACAGGGTGATAGAGAATTTTAAGCTCTATCAGAATCTATAGTTACTTTTCATACAGATCATTCTATACGGATGAAAAATTTTTAAAACTAGTTTTGATGACGAAGGAAAGATCAAGTCTGGGAATCTGGACATGAGGGTGCCTTCGTTGTCTTCAATTTATT